TATGTAATAAAGAATTTTTCTCTGATCAAAACTTGCAAGTTAGAGGAGAGAAAATTACATATAAAAAGGTTTATATCAGAACCATAAAATGTGCAAATAGGTCGTGACAGTTTATTTTTGTTCTAGATAAATTGATGGTAGCATTATGAAACTTATTTTAATATGCAAGTATAAAACTATATATTCATTTACTATACTGCATATAGTCTTAAATAGTTGTGTTATTTCTCCCCAAATAACATTTTACAAGTCAGGCAGATTTAGTGTTATGGATTTATTAGAAAAGAGACTGAAAACAAGTAGTCGCTTTAATAACATCATCTTAATATAAAAGCCTGTAGCCTGCAGAGAAATCCAAAAGTTTTTACCCATTCGAAATTTTCAGTGCAACAGAAGAGAAAATTCATTATATACTTTATTGGAGAAATAAAATTAAGTAAACTTTAGTTAAAATTAAATGTAAATTAAGTTCAAATTAACTTTTTTCCAGGTCTTGTTCTCCAGAGTGTGTTCCCATACAATACATGATACGAACTTTACATTATAAAGTAAAAGCCATGTGAAATTAAAAAAAAGAAGAATAGAAACTTAGTGGGAAATGCAGGCTGGTTGCTTCTTGACAAAATATGTCTGTAATGAGCATGTGTATTTGATATTAAAATGAGACTAATTCATGAAAAATATTTTTGCCATGTTTACTAGATACCCCAGAGAATATTTTTGAAAGGTTGGCTGTTAACTACATTATGTCAGAGGAACTTGTCTTAAATAAAGGAAGGCATACCTATGTGTATGATTTGGGGCTATATCACTGTCAATTTATTCTCATTTAATATGTAAGTTTGTTAAGTTGGCTTTGGGAAGAGTAATATGGTTGCAAGATGTGAATGTGATTTTGAATTATATGACAAAAATTTGGAATTTTTCACTATATCAAGAATTATGGTTTTTACCAAGCCTGAGGGGTGGCTAAAGAAATTATTTTTTTCAATAACAAAAAGGCAGTGCCATCATGGATTTACAGTGTTAGACCGATGGCACGTGTTCTCTACTTATAACCTGGCTCTTTATCAGTGTAATGAGAAGAGAGATCAGTATTATTCCATGTGGATAAAGTTTAAAGCTGTGTTTAAAACTGAGCTTACTAAAGTATATACTGTATGCATTGTAACAGGTTTTGGGCTTTCCCCCCGTTTCCTAAACTCTTTTTTTCTCTCTTTTATTGAAACAATTTTAAAAAAATTAATTCAGCCATGCATAGGCTAAATGCTTTGGTGTCGCAGAAGCTTACCTGTTCCTCCACCACAGTCTACATTGTCTGTACAAGATGTTATTAATGACCTTTGAATTTTTATATTTATTTCTGAAGGCTTCTAGCATTTTTTTTTGGGCCATGTTTGCAAGTATTTTGGAGGGAGGAGGATTACCAGGAATTTAAATACTGTAGGAAAAAGAAGCTTAGGCAAGTTCATTTTTAGTGTGATCTAGCTTAGAACAATCTAGAAATTTACATATATCTTGTTTTTCCTTTAGATAGTTATTTAGGGGTCAACATTCCTTCTTTAAAGTTGCAAAGGTATAACTACTGTATAACTACTTCCAAAATGTGCTGGAATCTTTTTAAGATGGATAGTTTCTGGAAGTCTCTCTCTTTACTGTCAATTTGTGCATATGTGAAAGAAAGAGATAGATAATATGTCTGTCTCATCCTTGAAATTATGGTAGTGTGCTCTTTATTTCATTCATGGTTCTGGGTTGGATGCAAAATAATATATCATCTGCAAACAGACTTACAATACTCTTCATTTACAGTCAGGTCCAGAAATATTGGGACATCGACACAATTCTAACATCTTTGGCTCTATAC